TTACAGTCAAAAGGTGATAATGCTCGTGCTATGACATTTTTTTGAGTGTGGAGGTGCTGACAGGATAGGGAGAGAAAACAGACGTTTTCACAATATTTATAATTATTATTCCATGTAGTTTATAGTAACTTTAAGCACATGAGAGGAGACTGGTGTGTGTCGCTTCTCACCCTCTCCTTATCCCACCATCCCCCATAGCATACACCCATTCCAGAGCATATAACTGCCCCGGCGGCATTTGCAAATCCCCCTCCCCTGCCCATCTCTGTATCTGCAGCTACAGCTGACTGTTAGCAAGCTCAGAGGAGGACATTCAGGGCGTCTTCACTACCGTTCTACAGCAGTGACGATGTGCTATGTAGACGAGAGAGCACTCTTCTGTCGACGTAATTACTCCACCAAAACGAGAGGCAGAAACTATGTCGTCAGGAGAGCATCTCCAGCTAACATAGTGCGGTGTAGACACCGCTTTAAGTTAAGGTAATTTACGTCGCTTAGAGGGGTGGTTTTTTCACCCCCCCGAGTGACATAAGTTACATCAACTTAAGCGGTAGTGTAGGCAAGTCCTCAAAGAGGTGTGAAATGGTCCATTCATCTCAATGAGATGTCCCCAATGAATGAGAACACACCATGAAGATGAATGCAGCCTGAAAAGGGCTCAGAGAGGTAAGAGCTGCTCTGTTCATCTCAGTGGGTGTTCTCACTCCATCGCATTTCTGGGTCTGTACCAAGCACTAAGCAATCCTGTTCTCTGCTCCTCATCCTGGTCTCAGGATTGTCTTTGGTGCATGCTCTGGTCATGCCGCTTCTCAGCTCCCAACTATGATCTCAGTGCTGTGTATTGTACCATGAACCAAACATTCCTCTCCTCATCCCAGTCTCTGTATTGTATGCCTGTTCCATGCACTGAGCATACTTGTTCTCAGTTCCCAACTATGATCTACTACAAAGAAGGGCAACAAAAATGATTAAGGTTATGGAACATGGAGAGAGATTAAAAAGACGAGGACTTTGCAGCTAGGAAAGGAGACGATAAGTGGGGGGTACAACAGAGGTCTATAAAATCATGAATGGCGTGGAGAAAGTGAATAAGAAAGTGTTATTTACTCCTTCGTATAACACAAGAACCAGGGGTCACCAATGAAATTAATAGGCAGTAGGTTTAAAATGAACAAAAGGAAGTACTTCTTCACAAAACACAGTCAACCTGTGAAACTCGTTGCCAGGGGATATTGTGAAGGCCAAAACTGGGTTCAAAAAAAGAATTACGTAAGTTCATGGAGGATAGGTCCATCAGTGGTTATTAGCCAAGATGGTCAGGAATGCAAACTCATGCTCTGGGTGTCCCTAGCCTCTGACTGCCAGAAGCTAGGAGTTTATTACAGGGGATGGATTACTTGATGATTACCTGTTCCGTTCATTCCCTCTGAAGCACCTGGCACTGGCCACTGTCAGAAGACAGGATACTGGGCTAGACGGATTACTGGTCAGACCTAGTATGGCTGTTCTAAGGTTCTTATGATCTCAATGCTGTGTACTGTGCCATGCACTGAATATGCCCATTCCACTCCTCACTGAACATTCTTGTTCCCCTCCTAGTCTCAGCACTATGGGGCCATATTTTGAAAGAGGGACAGAAATAGTGGTGGGGGCAGGAGGGGATATTTGCAGGGGGAGAGCTAAAATGCTCCGCAAATCCCTCACTGCATGCTCTGATCGCCCTACTCTCCTGCACTGCTCTGACCTCCCTCTTTCCCTAGTAGCAGCAGCAACCAGTGAAGGGGGAGCTTTGAGCCCCTTCCCCACTGCTGGAGGCAGCATGGAGAAGGAGGGGAGTTCTGGGTTTCTTACCTTGATTAGGGGACAGTGGAGGGAAGGGAAGCCTCTGAGCAACCTCCATCTCCCTTCCCTGTTCAAGTCTAGCACTGTTGCCCAACTTACCCTCCCCCCATGATTCTACTCTGTCAGCACTTCTGAGCAGCCAGAGAGCAAAGGTCCCTTTGAGGATGAGCCTTTATTCACTGAGGGATCACAGAAAAACTACATTTTTGGAAATCCAGTGCAGCATCAAAACTCTAGTCACTGAACTGGGTTTTAAAAAAAACATAGTATTTGGATGATCCTTTACACTAATAAGAGTCATTGTCTAAGGGTGTGCTGCACAACTCTAAGCTGGCAAAGGGCCAGAGCACCATCCTGCATCCTTCCAGTCTCCATATCCCCTGCACTGCTCCCACGCCCCCACATTTGCCTTCACTGTTCTGACCCCCCCTATAGCCTCTGGCTCTGCACCAAAAAAAGTATTAGAAGCTGTAAATGTTACGAGCAGTTGATGTTGGGGGGCGGGGAGGCTGTGTATCAGGAACCCTTGATCAAACAACTCAGCATCTTGCTTTCCTTTTGATCCCACTTAGTTCCATTCTATGGAAGCAGATGAAGATTATGAATCATGAATACATTACCCTAACCACTTACATTCTTTCATCTTCTTTTTATTTAATACCAATTTCCTTGATAATATTTTTAAAGTAAAATCAGAGACTGAATGTGAATTTTAGAGCATATCTCATTCAAATATTACTCTTAAACTAGAAATTTTGGTTTCAGGGCAAAACTTTCCTGCAGAATGCAGTTAGAGATCAAGGACACACACATAACACATTCTCTAAAAGCTGCTAATGGTAGGGCTCAAATTCACATTGCCTGGGTGCAGCTCAGGTTCAGTCACCACAGCATGTAACCCAGTTACTGTGACAACAGACTGCCTACCAACCTTCTGGCTTCAACAGAGCCCTAGCCTTGCTGCAGATGTGCATTTCACTCTTGAGTACATCAGTTTGGCATGCACTGAACTGTAGTTACAAACTTTATTCTTAATAATTTTTTCAATGTGGCTTCCCCAGAGGGGCAGTGGGTCCCATACATTAGCTAAAATAAATCCTCAGTGACTGAGATCAGTTTGGGGGAGAACCAGAGCCAGAGTTTGAACCCCAGGTGCAAAAATAGTTAGATAAACCAGGTGATTTTTTTGGGTGGGGGAGCCTCTTACTCAAATGACCACAAACTTAGACCACTAACACTACCCCCAGCACCCTCATAAGACACAGCACATTTAAAGACAATCTAACTAAGCATGCAGATTTTGAGAACTTACAATAGTCATCCCTTAAACAGCAACACTCAACCTTAACTTTAGCAGAGGGAGAAACATGTTGCTACATAAAATTCTCTCTTATTTTCCTCAGTCACTAACATTTGTACTTAAGATTCTCTGTATCTTTATTCTTCTCAGTTTTGTGTACTTTTCAAGTAAGAATTATGCAATAAAAGAAAAAAGTGAGTGATATAGTTTCTGAGAACACAGGTACACAATATTCTCACTTGAAAAAGATATTTAGCAAAATCTCCAAAAACACTAACTGAGAGGGATTTAAAAAAAATAATTAAATGGGAGCTGAATGTACAATAAAAATGACCAGGTGGAACATCACTTTTAAAAGGTCACATCACAGAATTTAAAAAATAAGAGTAAAATGCAATAAGGCTATGTCTACACTACAGCCTATGTTGGCAAAACTTATGTTGCTCAGGGGTGTGAATATTCCACCCCTGAGCGACATAAATTACACCGACATAAGCGTTTGTGTGCACAGCACTACGTCGATGGGAGAAACTCTCCCGATGACATAGCTTATACCGCTCGCGGAGGTGGGGTTTTTTTTCATGCCAATGGGAGAGGTCTTTCCCATAGGCGTAGAGTGTCTTCACCAGATGTGCTGCAGTGACGCAGCTGTATCAGTACAGTTGCACTGCTGCAGCGCTGTATGTATAGATATACCCTAAGAAAGAAAGGAAAAAACACAGAACTCCAAAGGTTAGTAATCTATCTTTTAAACAAAAAGGGCAATCTACTTTTTCTCATTAAAAACTGACACACAGCACTAACTGAGGAGATTATGTTGTGAAAACATACTGCATCGCACGGCAGTGCTTGATCGAGATCAGCAATCAGGAGCAAAAGGAAAGTACGGTTTCATGATTATAATAGCAAATTCTGGATGACAACCAAATACATCATCTGGCAGCTCAACAGCTGTTACAGTTTGGTAGTAATACCTTGGCATTTGCTATAAACTATAACTTGAAAAAATTGATTTCTCATCTGCCAGAAACAAGAATATGTTCTCCTTTTAACATTTCTGAGTTTCTTTCAATAGAATAGTTAGATTTTCAAGCCATTTTTATTCTGCATGTTTCTCATCATGGCTGCCAAGTTAATTTCATATTATTTTATTTTGATTCAAAAATAAATTTGGGGGATAAATATTGGATGCAACTTAAATAAACGACATGCTTAGCCAAATTCCATCATAATAGCATGGCGAATAGTACAGAATAGTTGTCCTTCATGTTAATATTTATTGTTGACCATTTAGTCATAATTATACTTCACACACACTTGAAAACAGGAAGTTTCCAAGCAGTTTGAAGTTCAGGAACCTTCTTGCTGTTTTGTTGGTAGTGAAGGAAATCATTTTCCATGTTGGAGTCAAAGTGGATGGATGTAGCCACATAATATATTATACTTATTAATGATGAGACTATACCAATATTTGTTTTTAAACAACTCCTGGATATAACATACTAGAAGAAGGCAAGAATTCATGGCTATTTTGCATAACTATATAAAACCATTAAAGCATTTTTGTTTATACAGTACCTGTCTAAAAAATCCTGTTTTTAAACATATAATATTTCACTGGCACTGTTAAATAAAAGTATGCTTCTTATCAAGAATGTGGAACATTTAAAGTCCATTAGAGTTTCAGTTATTCCAGTTATTTGAAGGTTCAAAACAATCCCTCATAAATATTTTAGATTCTGGCATTCCACTTAGGTCTTGAAGTGTCAAACAACATCTCTCAAAAATCAATATTCACACAGTACATCTATGGGGAAAAGAAATTCAACATGGTGTAAACTATCAAATAGATATCTACCTTTATGCCCAGTGCAGTTTTCTTGGCCTCTGCTTTTAATCTTGTTGCTCTTAACACTGGCCTGCTTTTCTTGTAATCTTGTTTTCCTAAGGTAGAAAAAGAGTTAATGTAAATGATCCACTGAATATAAGATACATCTACAATAATTTTAGCTTCAGTGGCAGATCTAAATTTTTTAAGAGTTCAGTGATAGAAAGAAAGAGTTGTGCCACAAGAACGGGACCAACAGCAGGGTCAACAATGGCCTTTAAAACAAACAAACAACAACCAGAAAACCAAAACAGTAGTTAACAAATCAACCTAGAGCCTGATAGCCCAGTGAGCTACAAAATGCAAATTATGATACGCCTCCAATGGTATGTTATTTACTAAAATGGCAACTGCAATGTTCAGTAGCCATCAGACAGCATGTATTTAGAAAACATCATCCTTCTGCAGGAGTCCCCCCCTTCCACCAGTCTATTCAGCATCTATTCATATCCAGTGGAGAGATCCCCTTTGTGGCATACAGAGGATGCTCCCCTTGTATAAGCTCTCCTCCCCTGAACAGCCCCACCTTAGGGATTAAATATTGTGAAGACCGTCTGTACTGGGCAAAAGTCATGCATAAAGGATGTGAATAATTATGATGCATTTGATGCCAAAAGGAAAGGCATAGCACTAGAACGTATTGTCAGAGGGAAGGTAAGAGAGTCTCTTAGGGGAAGGAAGGGGAAGAGAATTAGGGAATGAAAATTTGTATCCTAAACTCCAACAAATTCATCCATTCAATGCATCATAAATATTTTCCACCATTGGAGTACAGGGCCACTGGAGCTTTACATTGCAGGAGCTGCTGATCTCCTAAGATAGGAGGGCACAACAGAGCAGAAGAACAGTCATTTTCTAAAGCAATCAGAGAAACAACCCGAAGGTTACCTCATGAGAAGAGAGGAAACACAACCAGCAGGGGTGTCTACCCTCAAAGTATTATAATAGCACTGTTTGCTATGCAATGGTTAAGAAGCTGTCAGAATTTCCATTATAAATTGCAGGAATTTATAACTCATAAAAATTCACTCCAGGGTGAAATTTGGCACAGAACTATCCCAGCTTGGAATATTTTTGAGCCAATTTTCAATAAAGTGATGCAGCTGTTCCAACTTACTTGTGAACAAACTATAGAAATTTATCCATTTGGGATTTTTTAAACACTAAAAATATCTTCAGCTTAAAAAAAAAGATAATTGAAAAGTGCTAGCTCCAGTTTCAGCTCTCATGACTCAAATTCTCTGTCTTGCCTTCCATGGTAAACAAAGCAGAACAACCAACAGAATGACTTACATCCAGATATCTGCTCTTCCAGTGATGCAACAGAATTAGATAATGAGAACTATGCAGCTTTGAAAGAGCATAGGGAACCAGAAACTACTGACATCAACTGAAATCCCCCCACTTACTGATATTCCCTCCAAAGGGTAAACTGCAAAGATGACTGACATTGGAGTAAATATTTCATATGGGGTATGTACCCTCTTTGATTAAAGTTCATTTGTTAGGATCAAATCTACTACTACAAAGAGAAAGTCTATTATTGCTTGTAGCAAGGTGGCCATTTACTGCACACCCCCTTGTGGCCAGTGGTTTCTTTTCAGACACGCTTCCCCTTTTGCCCCCCTCTTGCAGGCCACTTAAGAACTACACACAGGCTTTCACATGAATACCACCACCACCTGCTTGGGGATGGTTTAATAACAAAAACAATCTTCAGGGTCCCAAAATAAAGTCTATCACCACGCAACAGTACATACTTATCTCCGATGTCTTCTCTCACAGCCAGAGCTCTTCTTCTATCCCAATCTGTTCTCACAGCCCAACTCTTCCTGGCTGGAGCTCAGTCTTCTGGCACTGGCCTCTAGGCCCCCAAACTTCTAGGTCCAAACTCAGCCCAGGTTTTCCCATAGGAGCCTCCTCCTCCATTGGTCTCAGGGCATTTCCTGCAAGAGCCCTTCACATTCCCTCCCATCTCTCTATGCTTTCTTGTGCTTTCCCAAACCACTGCAGCCTACGGCTGTTCTTTATAGGAAAATCACCCTGATCTTTCCCAGGTTTAGCTCATTCTGTATCAGGAGCTTCAGCCCACCAGCCCTTAAGGGTTGTGTCACCCTGTTACATTAAAACAACAAGGAGTCCGGTGGCACCTTAAAGACTAACAGATTTATTTGGGCATAAGCTTTGGTGGGTAAAACCCACTTCTTCAGATGCACGGAGTGAAAATTACAGATGCAGGCATTATTATACTGACATATGAAGAGAAGCTATCAGGGCTACCCCCAATACCTGTTACATTACTCTTTTCATCAATTTCAAGCACTTTGGTACTACTTACTCCAGTAATGTGGTTACTGATGAGGCTGGATTGCAGTTACATAGAGAATGCTTCCAGATTTATATTAAAGTTGATATGAACAACTAAAATCACCTATATAACAAATATTGTGATGACTCTACAGCAGTTAATTCTCCAAAACTATGTACCTGTCATTTAATTTACCACTCCTTGCTAAATACGACAGCCAAAAGACATACTGGTGAAGAGTCTTGAGTCCACCAAGTGCAAAAGTTTTTAAAGGGCATCTCTTCAGTTTTTTGCAATGAAAACTAGATCGTACAATTGTACTAAAAAAATTCTTTAAATATCTGAACTTTCTAAAGCCCTAGGAAAGACATCTGCACTATAGGACTGTAAAGAACTATGAAATGCAAAGTCCCTGGCACATAAAACTGATAGTTATCACCTGTAACACATTGCACAGATAAATAACGTAGGTTCCTTAGGTTCTTTGGGCCTACAAATTCAACAGGTTGGAATATGCATTTGCACACTTCTAATTCCTTCCTGTTTCATCATGGTCATACTGCAAGCTTTGTCTGTACATATATCAGTCATCATTAGTCTAAGCTGTTTCTTCTTCCCAGCAAGTGACAGTCAAAGCCGATTAAGATGGACTCATCAGACAAAGCTCCATTTATCTCTTACCCAAAGTCTGAGGGAGCATAGGCAGAGAAGCAGCAGAGGATGCAGCTGGAAAACTTCCAGACAAAATCTGACCTTGAGTATTGTTTAAGCAAAACCCTCTTCTCTTCCATTCCTTATCCACTATCCTCTGTAGAGTGGGAGAGTCCCTGGTCCAACACAGTTACCAGAAGACCAGGATATGTTGCAGTAGTGAGCATAATAAACCGAGGAGCTTCCTGGTCAGGAAGTTCTCTAGTTTCTGCTTTTAAGGCATGGCTCTTTCTCTCTCTGTCTTCTAACTGCATGTTGTCAAAGTAAGTGCATCCCTCTCCTTAAAGAAGTGGTAATGGAAAGAAAAGAGGACCAACACAGTAAAGAAAAAAGACAAATGTGACAGGAGCAGTTGGAGCAAATTTACAATGTAAGAACAGTGCATAACTAGAGAGTAAGAAATCAAAGAACCATGTAAGAGGGAAGGTTGGAAAAGCTGTGGAAGATGTGGTAAGCATCAAGTCACAGCTGGTAACAACATCCAGCAAAAGAGGAAGAAGGTAGGAGATGCCATAAAATTGGACATTTTGCAATAGCACACAGGTCACTAAGATCTGGTCTACACTACAAGGTTAGGTCGAATTTAGCTGTGTTAGGTCGATTTTATAAGCAATGCGGCTACACAACCAACCCCGTTCCGCTGACCTAAGGGGCTCTTAAAATCGACTGCTGTACTCCTTCCCAACGAGGGGAGTAGCGCTAAAATTGACCTTCCTGGGTCAAATTTGGGGTAGTGCAGATGCACCATTGTGCAATTAGACGGTATTGGCCTCCAGGAGCAATCCCAGAGTGCTCCAATGTGACCGCTCTGGACAGCACTTTCAACTCCAATGCACCAGCCAGGAACACAGGAAAAGACCAGGGAACTTTTGAATTTCATTTCCTGTTTGGTCAGCGTGGTGAGCTCAGCAGGACAGGTGACCATGCAGTCCCAGAATTGCAAATGAGTTCCAGCATGGAGCGAACAGGAGACATTGGATCTGATTGCTGTATGGAGAGAAGAATCTGTGCAGGCAGAACTCGAAACCAGCAGGAGAAATGCTGATATATATGCCAAAATCACACAGGGCATGGTGGAGAAAGGCTACACCAGGGACACACAGCAATGCTGCGTGAAAGTTAAGGAGCTCAGGCAAGCCTACCACAAGACAAAGGAGGCAAACGGTCACTCTGGGTCAGAGCCCCATACATGCCGCTTCTATGATCAGCTGCATGGCATTCTAGGGAGGAACCCTACCAGTACCCCACCACTGTCTGTGGACACCTGCAAGGGGGACTTCTCACGCAACACAGAGGAGGATTTTGTGGATGAGGAAGCGGAGGAGGAGGAGAACGGAAAATCCATTCTCCCAGGCAGCCAGGACCTTTTCATTACTCTGGAGCCAATAACCTCCCAGGGCGAATTGTTCCCGGACCCTGAAGGCTGGGAAGGCACCTCTGGTGAGTGCACATTTGTAACTACACTACAGGGGTTAAAAGCAATTGTGTTTAATTTTTGATTTGCTAGGAAGAATTGGGATGCATTCGCGGCCAGTACAGCTACTGGAAAAGTCTGTTAACGTGTCTGGGAATGGAGCAGGAATCCTCCAGGGACATCTCCATGATGCTCTCCTGGAGATACTCTGAAAGGCTTTGCAGAAGGTTTCTGGAAGGGCTGCCTTAATGTTTCTATGCTCCCCGTATCAACTCCGTCCCTGAGGTTATCGCAGATAAGAAGGCGAAAAAAACACACTCGCGATGACATGTTTTCAGAGCTCATGCAGTCCTCCCGCACTGATAGGGCACAGCTGAATGCATGGAGTTCAGAGGCAGAGGTAGCAGAGGCCAGGAACGCATACAGTGAGCATGATCAGAACATGCAGGAGGAGATGCTGAGGCTAATGGGGGAGCAAACAGACATGATCAGGCATCTGGTGGAGCTGAAGGAAAGGCAACTAGAGCACAGACCCCCGCTGCATTCATTGTATAACTGCCTGCCCTCCTCGCCAAGTTCCATATCCTCCTCACCTAGATGCCCAAGAACACAAGGTGGGGGGG